GCCCTCCTGGCGGCTCTAAGGACGGGGGGGCCGCAGCGGGGCCCAGACCGAGGGTCGGGGCAGAGCCCCGGCCGTGGGGACGGGCTGCCTCCTGGAGACCGCGGTGGGGACGCCTCAGCTGTCGCTTCCCTCCCGCTCCAGGTGCATCGAGGAGCGGTACAAGGCTGTGTGCAACGCTGCCCGAACGCGCTCCGTTCTGTCGCTTGGAATCGCTTGTTTCAAACAACTCCCCGAAAAGGTAGGTGGCCTGTGGTAGGGCTCCAGTCCTGTGCTACTTCGCCGGCCTCGGAGCGAGTTGTTCCTCTTGGCTGGTCTCAGACCTTCAGAGGGGAGAGTTGGCGCATGGACTGCAGAGACAGGATTCATCCTGCCCATGTTCACAGTCTGCCTGAGTACTTACAGCTCTTTGCACTTGTTGCTTTCTTATCTAGAGCCCTTTGCAATAAGTATTGTTTTAGTCTGACTTCCTTGCTTTGCATGCTCTCTTTGTGCAGTCTGAGAACACGTACCTCTCCCAGATCTACAACCTGACGCTCCTCTGCATGGAAGATTATATCGTTGAGCCCCAGTCGGTGCAGTTCTTGGTGCAGCACGGCTTTGACTTCAACAAGCAGTACTCTCAGGGGATCCCCTACCACAAGGGCAATGACAAGGTACAAGATTGCTGCCAGAGGCAGATGCTTGCTTCTTTCCTGTGAAGCCATGCTTTAGGCACCTCTGCTCCTCAGCTTGCTCTGCTTCAGGCTTTTGCAGAGAGAATGTGGGGAGGATGCTGGGTTCTCCTTGGCCCTGGAGTCTTCCTCCTACAGATACTGTGTAGGACATGTGGCTGCCGCGTGAAGATGGGCTTGAGTTGGGATCTTCACTGCGGGATATCCCTTCGCCTACGTTGCTTTTTGTATCTAGGCTATCCGTTGTTGAAGGTGCTTTTCCAAGTATCTGGGCCTCTATTTGGTCAAAGCAAGCCACAGATGAAGGTAGCATCCTGCTATAGCAGGCTCTGAGAACTTCCTGGTATGGAGGAACGACACTAAGGCTTGCTGACTACTTAATCCTTGTTCTTTCAGGGCAACGAGAACCAGAGCCAGAGCGTTCGGACCTTTTTCATGGAACTTATACGAGCAAAGAAGCCCCTCGTTCTCCATAACGGCCTGATTGATCTGGTGTTCCTGTACCAGTGCTTCTATGCTCACCTTCCAGACAGCCTTGGCACTTTCACTGCTGACCTCTCAGAAATGTTTCCAGCGGGAATATATGACACCAAATACGCTTCCGAGTTTGAGACCCGTTTTGTAGCATCCTACTTGGAGTACGCGTACAAGAAGTGGTAAGCGGCACTCTGGTGCTTGAAGCTTAAGGGAGGAATGGCAAAGGGAATCAGTGTTTTTTGCAGATAGAGATTTAGGACTTTGTGCTGTCCTGATGAGTGAAGAAAGGTGCTTCTCAGATGATACTGCACGGTGCCTTTCCATGCTTCCCCTTTCTCAGGTGGGCGCTGACTGCGTAAGGGTGTATTTCATAATATGCTTTATCTGTTCACTGGGTAACTGCTGAAAGAGGAGTTCCAGCTTCTGCTGACTGCAGTTGTGACCACACAGTGACTGATCAGATTGAAAACTAATCTGATTCACTGCATGGCTACGTGGTCACTTGGTTCAGTAATGCCCCAGGGACACTGCAGTAATCCATGCGAAAGAGGAAGCGCTCCCTTGCAACTCCACTAGAGAGAAAGCAAAATGACACACAGTTAGGCTCTGCCTGCAGGATCTGCTCTTTGTACCTCAGCTTTCCAGGGGATGGTGCAGTTGAAGAGTGGGTGCTCCCTGCACCGTCTGACAACGTGTGCCAGTTCTGTAGTGCTGGCTCTGTCACGTGCCCTGCACATCACGTGACCCTCATGTGGGGTCAGCTACAACTCCCATCGCTTTCATTCCAAGTTGTGAATCTCATTCCAAGGGATCCTGGATATCTTTATAGATATCTTTCAGGCACACACATGCTAGAAGCAGCCACATCTCTGCAGTTCCTGTGTCGGTTTGGGCCCTGTTTCTGTACTCACCACACAATCTAACCAAGACCCTGGTAGTAATACAGCCCCTTGAATCTCCACTAAGCTGAGATCATGCCCTTTTTGTGCAGAGGAAAAATAGTACATTTTAGTGACTCTTATAATTGGGAAAAGCCATTTTGACACATCTGGAAATGTGCAAGATGGCTGTTCTCAAACATGAGAATGCTTTGACAGGATCAAAATACTTAAAAAACTGGCCTCTTTAGATGCTTCAACTCACAGTTCTAGTTACATGAAACCTTCCAAAGCTTTTGGACCTTTGAGTCTGCTCTTGAGACCAAAGGGTTTTCTCCCGAGTTGGAAAACATTTCCTTGTCATCTCCACTGCCCACATTTGATCTGTCTGGGTAGTAGCTGCTGAATACTTTATACAACAGCTCGTTCTTAGGTATTTTCTCTTTCTCCATTAATATTATTAGAACTAATACATTATCTTAAGGCATTAGGGTTTAAAACCAAGTTGTGTGTCCTTCTCCCATAGCTTCATTGACAGTTGTCCTTATCTGTATGTAGGTATAAGAGACCCAGCCTCTAAATCAGCATGGAGGCAACTGCTTACTTACTAAAGCCATTCTCCCTGGACTAAATTTCTTTCCAGCAGGCGGTCAAACTGGGGCTTCAGCTCAAGAACAAGAAACCAGAGGAGTTAAGATTTGATACAGAAGAGCACGTTTGCACCAGCTCTGGCTTGGGTTATCTTCCGTGAGTTAACTACAGTAACTGCATACTCTTATGTGTTCCAGCAAGCGAGAGAACTGTAAGCTGAAGGACCAGCACCTTACCATCGAGTTCTGCAACTACCCTGCCAACGTGTCCCGCTACATTGATTATCGCTACTGCTCTCTGGAAGAAGCAAGCCACAATGAGGGAGAGGCAAATAAGGTGCCTGTCTGTGAGAAATTTTCGGTAAGTAACACGAATCCTAGCTTCCTACCTGGCTTCATGGGAAAAGCCAAGTGTGGCCAGAACAGGAAGGGGTAGGAAAGCACTTGGGCACTTCCATTTGCTTGCTTCATGGTACACGGAGGAAGATGTTCAAAGTTCAGGGGGCTTCAGAGCTGAAAAGAGAAATAGCATGCTCTGCTCTGAAACAGTGAATTCCACAGCTTACAAGAGAGGCCAAGATTCAAAAAGAATCTCTACTCTCCCACTGTTTGGGACTGTATCAGTTACAGTACCAGTTGCTGTCTTGGAGGGGCCAAAAATTCTAAATGAATTTGGCTTTTCCTCTAAGCAAGAAAGGCCTCCTCTTTTCTCCCACGTGTCTTTATTAGCAATACAAAAAATCTTACCTGTCTGCAGCCTCTGGGACTGTAGCAAAGTGTGATCCACAGCCTCTCAAGTTTTGGCACTGCTACAATGATAAACAAGAGCCAGTTGGATCAAAACCGGTTTCTGATTCTTCACGGGAGAAAAAGGAGCTCTTCCCCACGTTGTTTGTTAATGCCACAGAAGTGTGTTGGTTTGGGGGGGGGACCTCTGGAAGTCGCGCATCCAACCTCTAGCTCATAGCTGCTCGGAGCCTTGTCCAGTGAGTTTTGAGCATCTCCAGAGACAGATTACAAAATCTCTCCAGGCCCCTGTTCCAGTGCTCAATCACTCATTGTAAAAACATTTTTCCTTTGTACCTAGTCAGAATTTCCTTTGCTTTTTTACCATTTGCCCTTTCCCTTTGTACCTCCCAGAATAGTCTAGCTCCATCTTCTCTATAACCTCTGCTTTAGGTAGCTGCAGACAGCAATTGGATCTCCCCCAGCACCCTTCTCTTGGTCTTTTACAGGTGGAACAAGCCCACCTTCTTTAGCCTTTCCTCATACATCATGTGCTCCATCTTGACAGCTCCCTCCTGCACCTGCTCTAGTTTGTCAATGCCTTTCTTATGGTCGGGGCGGGGGGGAACCCATAACTGGACACTGCTGCAGATGCAGCCTCACATCACAAGGCCTTAAAAAAAAAAAAAAAGGAATAATCAGTTCCCTTTACCTGCTGGCTGTGCTTTTGCTAATGTGCTTTGTTGTACATTCTCCCTTCTAAAACAGCAGAAGTATTCACTTTTTCTGCTTCAGCTTTGCCCATTAACTAACGGTCGAAGATATAGTGAGAGACCATAAACCTGGAATCTACTCTAATGAGGAGGCTGGTGGCTACTGACTTCTCTCTTTGTCTCTAGGCCTATGGCTGGTGTCCAAATGGGGTGAAGTGTCCCCAGTCTCATAACATTGACCTCATAATTGATGAGGATGACAGGCTTTGGGAGGAGAAGCGGAAGAAACGGAAGCACAAATGGAAACGTCGGAAGAACGCAAAGGAGATTGAACAGGAAAGCTCAGGGAAAGAAATGGAGCTAGCTCAGAATGGGGAGGAGGGACCACCACGAAAACAGAGCTGTCCCAGTGAGCCAGCAGCTGCTATGGAGCTGGCAGAGAGCACATCCAACACTGATGGCAGGCACCTGGAGGAGGAGAACTCCCCTGACATGGAACCAGAAGTTAGCTTAGACACCAGTGCACATGCCAAAAGGGAAGAGGATTTGGGGAGCACTGAAGCAACTGCTGTCCCATTAGAAGCCTCCACGAGCCCTTCTGCCAAGGGAAATGGCTCTGATGGTGACCAAGTGGAAGGGAAGTTAGAGGTCCCTGCTGGGGCGAGTTCTGTCAGTCACCCAGACAGCTCTGAGACTGAAACCGCATCTGCCGCAAGAAAGCGAAGGGAATCCCAGGCCCTTCCTTCACAGGGGGGAACCCACCGAGCTGGCTTTGATGCCTTCATGACTGGCTATATCATGGCTTACGTGTGGATGCTCAAGAAAGGAACAAGCACGGATGCTGGTGCAGAGCCATGGTTGCCAGATTGTCATAATAAACTGTACCTCAGTGGGAAATCAGTGCCCCTTCAGATAGTGAAGAGCTTGTTTTCTAAATCTTCCAAAGCTCACAGCCAAAAGATGAAGTTGGCCTGGGCCAGTGGCTAGAGCTAGAAGACTCACAGAACTGTTTTGTTTTTTTTTCCTCCCTCACACATTTAAGGTCTTGACTTTATTCTGAACTGACCAGGAGGGAAGCAAATTTCTTATTCCTGCTTTTGTTTTAACTTCTGACCAATTAAATTGCTCTCAATTGGAGTTCCCCATGGTGTTCCATAGCAGCACGCTGAGCTAGGAAGACAGGGTGAGGTTGGAGGACAAAAAGTGCACTCCTCCAATTGCATCAAGGGCTGCAGACTTAAGTGTTCTGGATCCAAGCTGGTTTATAAAACCCAGCAGGGCTGTCTTGGGGGTGGTGGTGGGGGGAGAAACCCTAACAATGGATTCACTTCCTCCAGAAAATGAGGGTAATACCTTGATAACTTAAGCTAGGAGACAGAGGCCAGAGCTCCCCCCCTTAAAAACTTCTTAACATGCTAAAGCCACGGCCTCCACCCACGTTTTGCTTTTATCCTTTCTGTACTAGGCTTTATTACAGGCTGCTGCTTAACCTAGAGGGGTTTAAGGCAGGTCCTCTTCAAAGGCAGCATGAACCAAAGGTCAAAGTCTACCTAAAAAAACATGCCTGAAAGCTGCAAGTTGTTAACCCATACAACTAGCTTGATTGAAATTGCTATGAACAGTTGCTACAGGAAAATGTGATCCTTCTGCCACACAACAGAAGAAAGTAGGCCAGATCCTCAAGCAAAGCATACATTTTCGTGAACATTTGAGCCAAGTGTTACTGCTTTCAGTCACACCTGGTAGGGTAATTCCCTATAACCCTCACAATTATTTTCTGTCTTTTTTAAGGTTTTTTAAAAAAAAAAAGTGTGGTCCGAAAAAAAAAAAAAACATGCATGACACTGACCATGATTCAGAGGGTTCACTTGGTTTAGAACATCCACCTGGGAAAGCTTATCTCACCTCAAAGTCATACTTTACCTTAATCCAGATTACAACACAGATAAATCCTTCACTCCTACAGGAGATGGGGGAGGAGAAGGCTGTGCTGGGCCAGCTAATTCTAGTGCAGGGTAACTGCATGCAGAACCAAGCCAAAACAGGTCTTCAGACCTCTAAGCAAGGAGAGATGCAGTGGGGCTTAAAGCCAGATGTGGTCCTCTTAAAGCCTGGATTCATTGCTTCCGATAGTCCTGAAGCTATTTTGTAGGGCCAAAACAGCATCCAGTGTGACAAAGTTCCCTGCAGGCTGAAGGCTATCAAAAGCTGACTTGTCTTTTAAGGTCACAGCTTGCTGCCTACTCTTCACAGCACTGTAAGGCGCAGCAGGGAGGAGAAAGTCGAGTCTCATGGACTCGACAGCATAACACTTAAGAAAGAGGCAGTAGATAAATAACACACACTGAATAAGAACGACAATTTTCGCTGTTTATAACTCAGCACAGAGTAATGAAGACACTATTCCAACCCCAAGCTATTAATGTCATCCATAGCTTAAGTAAGCACTTGAATCAGCTTTTTTAATCTAGAATTGTCCTCTTAATCACAAGACTCAGTGCTTGATTTTATTTTTATTTTGAAAGCAAGTTGGGAAAGTTTACAAAACCTGACCAAGAAAAAATTATGAAAATATTTAACTGGATTCATCTTTGGTTACTTCTTATTGCAGTTCCAATAAAACATACACCATTTCCATAGCGCAAAAAAAAGTCAGAAGGTCAATCAACATAGAAACAAGATGTGCTTTCTTTACATATTCATAAATATCCACAATATTAGAAAAGTTGTTTTGCAAAGATTTTTTTTTTTCTGGCAGTGTTAACTTACTATTATACACAGGCTACAAACTTCCTCCTAAGCCTTTAATTACAAGTTGAGCTATTTACAGTCTGCAAAATATTAAGACGTAAAATTCCTTCATAAATATGAAAATAGATCATCTTGCAAAGGTCTTTAAACTTACTTAATCAAATATCTGGCTGCCCCTCCTCCCAAAAAAGGTTATTTGTTTTGCATAGAAATGTAGTGACATGCAATATAAACAATAGCATTAAGTGCAAACAGGAATTATTCAAGTGTCTTTAGTTGTACTGGCAAAAAATACCAATGTTCTGTTACACATAATACATCAACACCTTTCCAACAAGTATAAGTCTAACCCCCTTGTCTTGCAGCACTGCTTTTGAGGGGCAGCAATTCACATGCATTCTCTTAGTTGCATTTTATCAACCTGCAACCACAACAAAAAATAGCTTATAACAGACATTTAAATGAATTCAACATAGCAAGATTTAAAGTGAATTAAAAACATCTTAGAGCTCTTCAGGGAACCTAGCAGTGTGTAGAAAGTCTTTTAAAAGAGCAAGAATTGCTCCTGTAAGAAAATCAAAAACCATGATAAAATCCATTCACAATAAAACTTTGTCACATCACTATAAAACAAGGAGTTTGCTGACCACATGGATCACTGTTTGTATGTATTCATGTTCATCAGTAGCTGTCAGAAAATGGCCCCCAGTAGAAAAACACCCTCAAATGGGCAGAAAACCTAGGAGATTTACCAAATGCAACCTAGATTCAGCTTTATGCAGCCTAAGCGATGAGACACAGTGAGTGCCAACCGCATCCAGGCCCTTGGAGACACTGGGTTTTAGCAAGCATTTAGCTATTTTTAACATAGCCTTTTACTCCAGTTTTATACACGTGCCTCTTCTCCTGTACAGACCAGGAATCCAGGAAAGGACTAAGCCATTATCCCTTGGCATTTCTTTTTCTGACACCTCCACCTCAGTGTAAAGAGCTAGAAAAGCTGATAGATGTGCCCTATTCATGTCAGCTGGCTGTGCTTAGAGGGGATTTTTAAGAAAAAAAAAAACATTTAGCCATGCTGCTTTATAAGAGAGCTGTTTAGGGCAGGGAAATATTTTTAAAAGACAGCTGCGCAAGAAAACAAGAATAGATGAGATCACTGTGATGGGTGCCTTAGAGATGCCTCAAGCCTGACTGCACAGCTTTGCAGTCAGCGTCACAGAGATGAGAGCTCAGAGCTTCCAGGGCAACAGACTTCACGATAAGGTGTCAGTGCTGACAGTCAGGGCTAATGCAAGCCACAGAGCACCCCGAGGCACATGTGTTTGCTCTGTTGAGGCTACATGTGGCTGTAGGATGCCGAACAGCTTCCTTGCAGCCTGGTGATCCAGAAGTAAACTACTTATTATTGCTTGTTTGTCTGAAGTCACACAACTAAATGCATCTTGTGACAACAGAAGCTGGTGCTGATGGTTTCCCTCCTGAAAGGTTACAATCATGAAAAGAAAAAGAAGAAAAACACACACACACAAGAAAAAAGAAAAAGCAGGCACCAGGCAGACAAGTAGCTGGCAATTGAGTTCTGACTAGTTTCTTCTCCTCAGGAAAATTACACACACACACAGCACCAGCCGTACAAGTTGCTCTGCACTCTGAAGACACCAAAACAGCAGACAGGTTAAACAAGACAGACTACTCTACAGATAGCACCTTTGAGAGGCCAAGAGGTGTGGGCCAAAGAGACAATCTTGGTAAGGATGGACATTTTCTCTTTAAAACTGCAAAGAGTGGCCTAATTTGGCAAGGACTGTTCTAAGCAATTTAAGGACACTGGGTTTCTCATTTAATTCTTTGCAGCCACTGCAAAGCCACTGCTGCTCAGTTTCAGGCATATTTCACAAGAAGAGGTCTTTTAACTCCCAAAATAGTTACCTATGCCTCCAGAAAGCTCAGTATCTCGGCCGAGAGACAGCATTTGCCTTTCTCCATCCTCCTTTCTCTGAGATGAGGAAAGGAGGAACAGCCTTGCTTCTACCAGAGCGTACTAGCTTACATTTTCCCTCTTTGCACAAGTGCGGTAAGAATGTAACCGGTTACCTGGGGTGAGATTCTGGACTCTAACCACCGCAGAGCCCATTGCATCACCACCTGTGTGCTCAGCAGGCATGCAATGCCTACCTCAGTTAGGAATGATAACACAGATGAGCGAGAGAGAGCGCTAACAATGACAGTGGATAAAGGCAGGAAGTAGCACAAATATCATAGAACAAGTTTTCCTGAAAATTGCAGTAGGACCACTGCTTCTTTCACATATACCTGCTAGTGGAGAGGAACAAAAAGAAAAAGAATCATGTTCACAGCTATCAGTGACAGCAGAAATCAAAGACGACAACATCTTTTTGTAGGAGGAAAAAAAAAAAAATTCATGAGGGTAAGTTAATTTTCTTCGGTTTGATGAGCCAATCTCCCTTCTGCGAGTCTACTGGCCTTCCCCCGAAAGCACTCACGTGGCTGAAATACTGCTGGCAGCTTCACCTGATCAGGGGATTCCTGTCCTCCATCAGGCAGGCAGTTTGGTTTTACATAAGGACTCATCATTACTGCAGTGGCATCAACGAGATGGGATGTTCTACCAGAGAGGGAGGTGAACATGACCCTTCTAGCTTAGTGATAATGGCCAGCTGTGACCTAGATGTAGTCAATTAACTGTTCTGCAGAAATAGGTTGTGGTGCCCATTCAGCTCTTTAGTGAAAAATGCCCACATCCCCCAAAGAGCTCAATACAACTGAACTTTCATGGGTGGCTTCCCAAGAAGCCCAGGAATGACAATGCCTAGAATATGGCTCCCTCTTGTGCCCTGGGCAAACCTTCCTCCACAGCTGGGTTGAGGTACATGGAGAGCTGGGCAAGGAAGTGAGCGGTGCTTATTGCACCCTGCTTCCCTGTGCTAACATATTGCGCATCAGTACCCAAATCCCATGGGAAAATGAAATGCCAGGGAACAGATTCTTCTTGTTAATCAGAAAGTACTTGCCATGTGACTGAGTCTGCAGCAGGAGGGGTTTTGTTTTTGCTACTTTTGAAACAAGAGCTTGTTTGATGCAGCAGCAGTGTTCATAGCCACTCTGGGACCAAAAAGCATTCCTATCTGCTCAACATAGCTCTGAAAGATCTCTATGCCCATTTCTAAAACAGAAGCTCTGATTCATGCACACTGCTTGCAGAATGTTAACGCAAAAGCTGCAGTGGTTTAGAGCAGCTGGTCAGTGAGAGGAGGAGGGAAAACCTAAGGGTCTCTCTTTCTCACCAACCTGGAGCGTAAGGCCCTGAAACTTTCCACGCCAAAATCCAGGTCAAACTGCTTACCACGATACCCCAGCTGTGGCAACTATTGCTTGGAAGTAACTATGGGGCTTCACACGGACATTCTGGCTAGAGTAGTTCTCCCTCCTAACACAAATCAGGAAAGGGGATAAACACAATGTGAAACAAAGTTAAAAGAATCTGTCTCTCCCGATGCTGTCTGCAGCCTTCTGTTTGACAGCCCATTTCTATAAACCACTGAGTGCCGCTGAGGCCATTTCAAACATGTGGGACCCAGCACTATAGAAAAACAGAGTCTAAGTGACTGGGAACAATTGTTCCTCCAAGGACATGTCCAATTTAAGCACTCTCTTCAAATGTCACAAGTTGACTGTGTGCTGCTACTTGCTGAGATGTTGGAGGAGGTCAAAGACAACGGGGCAGTGCCATCCCCGTCCTGCTCACCGAATGGCTGTGCCTCTCTCCTTGGCTCCGTGGAAGGGCTAACACTGAACAGAGCCTTTGCAGACTCCAGCAGCGTATTTTTCTGTAGGTCGTCTTCCACCTCCATCTCTTCAGAAGGGGGACAACCTGCAAACACCTGTAAGGAGCCATGTCCCTCTGAGTTCACTGAATTCTCAGCTGGGAGCCTTTTGCAAGATAGTGGCTCAGGCTGAGCCAGTGCTAAAGGTTGATTACATGCTGGATCTTCACACGTGTTCCCAACACGATAAAATCCATTTTCCTCCTGGGACACTGGCCCATCTGAACAGTCCATATCCTCCTCTTGTCCTGGTACAGGAAGAAATTCTGGCCTGTGGAGCTTGGCTTGAAAGGGGGGAATCTCTGACACACCATATTTACTGCTACTCAGGAGTTTTTGCCGAACCTCTGCACCTAGTTGGGTTGGGTCACACCTGCTGACAGTTGAAGACAGTCCCCCAAACAGGCCATACTCTTTATGCGGCAATTCAGGAGAGACTGGAAGTGATCTGCATCTCCTCCCCGGGAGGAGGGAAAATTCCTGCCAGTCTGTGCTATATGTCTGCCTGAACTGGGACTGGCTGGCTTTCAGGCCACCACCTGCCTCTGGAGAATGCAAGTCAAACACAAGGGAGATCACAGACTTGCTTGGCATGTCAAAGAATTTGATCTTTCCCCCCTTGAGGTCCTCCCTGGCATTGAAGGGATTAACTTTCCGGCCTAACCCCTTGTTTGGCGTATAGTAGGGGTCCTGCACATTTATCTTCCTGGAAGGCTTGCGGGAGAAGATATCCGACTGGCTGCGTGACAACCAGATATTCCGACGTGGGCGAGGTGACTTGGGTGGGATCTTATCATCCAGGGAACTCAATCGTTTTACTCCAGGTCCTTTTTCAATTGACCCTGAGTGGAAGAAGAGAAATCCTTAGTTTAAAAGGAGCTATATGCCTGCATGTTTGCTCACTCACAAAGGCCTTCATGAGAACTGCAGAGGAAAAGGTGCATTTCTGATGTTGCAAAGTATCTCGTACAAACACGTGTTCATTGGCTACTTACGAGTTCCTGCACAAACACAAGGATACCATTCCCTTCTCCTCAGCCTAGTACTGGTTTCTAACTAGGAAATTGGCAGCCCTGTCCACCGGATCTTTTAAATATAAAGGTAGCCAAAAGTTATATTTAAGATATTCTCAACTTTACTCATGCCTCAGGCTAGTTAAAAGTCATCTTGAAGACTCAAGGAAATGCAAATTCAGTTAATGCCATCTTATTTCCCCAGGTGGTGGAATTAGATGGCTTCTTTATCATTTTATGTTCAAATCTGCGACCCGTGTTATGGAAGGTGCCAATTCAGCAAGATAGTGTCATCTTCAGAAAAAAAACAAAGGAAAAATTATTTAAAAATTGATATGAAAGAAGAAGTCTTCTCTTTCTTCCAGCTTCTATGCAAACCCTATGTTTTAGGGCCCCTTCAAACCTCCTTGCTGCCAGTACATTGAATGGCAGAATGGCTATGTAGTGGTCTTGGAGAAGAACAATTTACATGTTTCTAGATTTATCATCCTGGCTTCCAGCAGAGGCTGCCCAAAATCTGTTCGTAATACTGACCAGAAAAGAGAACAAGTACAAAACATAGTTATCAAAGGAATTCTAAGTGAAGTTTTCAGTCTGAGGGGAAAAAATTAAGACAAAAATGAATGCTGATACCATGAAGAGTTTAAATCCCATCCAGGTCTTAATTCAATACATTATTCAATACAGAAACAGCAGATATACAAGAGTTTGAGTCTAATGAGTAAGAGTTAAAAATGTTTAAATATATACAAATATATGTGTGTGTGTGTTTATTTACATAAACACACATACCCACAAATACACACACACATGCGCGTGCATATGCATATATTTTTGTGTGTGTGTGTATATATACAAATTGTATCACTAGAACAAGATGGGAAAATTATAGTTGTTTAGGAAAAGATGCTAACTCGCTAATCGTTTGAAACACCCAGCTGCTACTGGCTCTCAATGTGCCTCCAAAATGCTGTGGTAGAGCAATGACAACTGAATGGATGGGAAGAGGAGATATCTCCTTTTATTTACCATTTGCAGAATGAGCACATGTGGATTTCTACTTTTCCCTGCAAATACTGCCAGTTTAGACGGGAGGTACTCCACCCAGGAGAGACTATGCAACTCAAAGAAGTGCATTTAAGGCTTCCACATTGCGATGCAAATCTGAGAGGTGCTCCAGAGGGAGCATGTCAGGAAAGAGAAAAAGAATGCACTTTCCTTTTAACCTGCACCTCTTTCAGATGCTTTCCAGCTGGGGGAGAACGACAACATGCATATGCTCCATCTGGCTTTAAATACAGAATTTACTTTAAGATTACAGGTATATAAACGCAACTATTTTTACTGTTATCTAAGCTTCCAATGCCAGAAGTCTACTAATATAGAAGGATCTCCAAGTCAGAATGTTCCCCAGCCTACAAAAAATGCTTGAAGTTTACTCCCCACGCCAGGTGGCACTAGACAGCTTTAGAGAAAGCATTCGAGATTATACAACATTCCCAAGTAAATCTGGGACTGATCTGTTCCTCAGTGGTTCACAGGATCTCTAGGTACTTTATAATACTCTCATCTTCTCTGCGCTTCATCCTGATGAAATTGAAGTACTTTCTAAACGTTAAATGTAACATAGACCAAAAAATTCTACGTATATGCTATCTGTGACAGGGACAAAGCAAAAGTTAGTGAATTTTCATGCACCTCTAGCAACTTGCAGAGCACTATCCACATGAACTCTGAATCTCCCCTCAAAGCTTGTGGACATAAACTTTTGAGGCACTTTAAGAAACAGCTATCTGCTCCTTCACAAAGGACACTCTCTGCAGTGCACAGTGTACAGTATCTTTCCAGAATCATTTTCAGGCTTAGAGTAATATCATTCATAAACTGTATAGCACTACACATATTTGAAATCCCTACCTTCAAAACGTGAACACTGAACTCTCGTACTATTAGCTTGCAGTAAGCTTTGTGCTAATGTAGATACCTACCTTTAGGTTTTCTTTCACTGTTGTCAAGATTGAAAAATTTTCTCTCTCTCTCAGATTCCTCGTTTCTCAGACGGTTTAAAATCTCCTCCAGTGTTCTGACAATATCAGCAAATGAAGGACGCAACTTTGGATCCATCTGTGAACACACACAGAATTTCATGCGAGTTTGTCCATGCTATTCCAGTGTCAGAGTTGACAGATAGAGGGACAGTTTGAAGGAACTGAGGAAATTCAAGACAGTGTTGTCATTGCTAAAAAAAAAAAAAAAAAGGGGGGGGGGAGGGAGGCAGGGAGAGAATGGGGAAAAGTCATGTTGTATCCCAGTTTATATCTCTCACATTTAATTATCAAGCTGTCAACATTCTATGACATATTTTAAAAGCAAAGGTGGGAAGATGCTAAAAACTCAGGGTTTGAAAGACAATCTGGGGGTTGTTTTTTCTTGTTTTTTAAAAAAGCTTTCTCAGTTCAAGGATTTCTTTCCTGACCCCAGTTTTCAGTCAGAAATTATATATCAGTATAATTTCAAAACCTGCCTGAAGCAGTAAGAATTAAACAGAGCAACTTGGCTATGTCGTTCTTTAAAAGCTTGTGATTTTTCCATAATCTCTTTCTGGCTTTAATTAAAATCCACTTAAATGGCATTACAGATTTGAAAGTTTAAAATGTTCTACCTTTGCATGTGTTAATTACTCCATAGTACTCAGTGTATTGGTCCGTCTTGTGAGGAAACAAGATTGATTATATAATTTGACAAAGTAATGCAGTACAAAAAGGCATCTTACTTGATTGCCTAAGTAAAAATTCTTTTCCCCACCGCAGTCATTAGTATCTATTTAGACTCACCCTAGCAGAAATGGACCTCTAAACAAAACCCAACACTAAAACTGTACTAGAAAGCAAGCAGCTTAAAGTAGTAATTTAGAAGGCATTTATTTCATAATTCTGAATACACTTAATATATGCTACATGTTTAACTACTGTAGGTAACAGCGTCTAATTCAGCAGCTAAAAAGTTATCTTTGTTACACTACTAAAAAAGATTCCACTTGACCTGATTCCTGTTCTCCAGCCTTCTAAAGGCTTTTTCATAGCAGACAGGTCCAGACAGATTGCACCCCTAGTACAAAGGGTACCAAAGTACAGTGGTGCTTTGTAAATAAACAACTCCCAAAGACCTCCCTGACACTGCCTTGCAGGTCCTAGGAGATGGAACTATGTTTGAAGAGAATTGGTATCACGGGAAATGCCAAAACACCTTCTAACACAGGGTAAAAGGCTAAAAATTTATATATGTAGTAATAAAACAAACAAATACAAAAACCCACTTGCTTTGACGAGCACAAAGCAGCAAGAAATCTGCTCTAATGCAGCAGCTGGAATTTCCTGGCATAGGAAAATATCTTTGTTTCCTATCCCACTGAAAAGGTAGGGCAGGGGCAACCCCAAAGCGCACACTCTATATTCTGACAGTCTTATCAACCTGGGAATCCTAGAGGGCTGTTGCAAGCTACAGAAAGTTAGAGCAGCTCTCTGGCTATTTTGATTTGTGCTAGGCAAGATCCAGGACAACAGCAGCAACGGAAAAGTGGCTCAGAGCAACTTCTGCCTCTTCCATCCTGAGCACTCCAGGTTCTGCTCAAACGGAACAGAAGGTTCTTCCCTCAAGGCTGCAGATCCCCACAGCTCAGCTTGTGCTGCTGTGCTTTCTGCATGATCATACAACATTATATTTATAAGCATTCATGCAATAGGGCTTATAGTTACTGGGGGAACCATAAATTTAGACTTCCTTGCAGACGGTTGTTTTTAAAACACTTCACAACAGCATATTAAAGGATTTTTAGTGTACTACTCACAGGCATCTGTTTTTACTGGTTTTCTTAGGCTACCCTAAAACAGGTTTCTTGATGGCAAAAAACCTCATGGCTTTGTATATCTAGTTCAGCTGATCAGCTGAGCCATACAGCTTACACTGTTCATTACCTCTTAAATAATAAAAAGCTATATAAATGCCCCTAAGAGCAGACTGATGCACAAATCACCTATTACGAAAGCACAACATGCTTAAGAAGAAAGACACAAGGAAGCTTTATCTGTTTGCCACTTTTTTCCTTAAACTAAAGCATTTTTGATAAGTGAATTACAACATGTTCCACACGGAAACCAGCATATTAATGGCTCGTTTAGAAAGGCAGTTGCTTCCAGTTTCTTCAAGGTATAACTAGGCTCCTAGCAAAACTCAGGGAAGGGATATTTATTATGCAGGAGAGTGCATTTGATGATAACCAGTAGGAAAAAGCCCTTTTTCTCTGAAAACTGCAAATTCTTACATGAGAATATAAAATAAGTTCACATTAGTCAGACAAACCAGTGCCTTAATGAAGCGAGCTCCACTGTACTAAAGTGAAATCAGGAGTAGAGTAGCTTGTCCAGAGTAAGGCTATAGTTCCAAAAAACATTTTCAGCACCCCTTTATGCTAGCTTGTTTCAAGAGCAGCTGTCCCCCCACCTGCTCATACTCTCACCTTTATAGCACTCTTCCCTTGTGTAAGCATTTGTACTAACACAAGGCGAAAAGAGCTCAGGGACAAAAATTTGTTTCAAAGGTATGAACAGATGAAGCTGCTTCTTTCACAGCAGCAGTGCTGACATGAAACCAAAGGCTCAAAATCATTAACAGAGCCAGGAACAAAAGCCTGTTTTGACACTTTTCTGACACAAACCTTCCCAAGGATACGGTGCTGTCACTGGCTCCAGCATGGCCTGGTTGTGGAGTCCTGAGCAAAGTATTACGCAAGAAAATTTTTAGAAGTAGCATCAATTTAAGGAGTGAAAACTGGCACCTAGAACAGATCCCTGGACATCCCCAACTTCAGCTGAATTCAGTGGAAGCTCAGGTTCTCCTACTTCAGATAAACCAGCTTGACTATACAAATGGACTGCACCCTCTATTATGGAATACCCATAAGATCGATCTCTGGAATTTTCAAAGCACAGAGGAACCATGAAGCTACCCAGCACTATTACAATTTTACTCAAAAAAAATGGCAGAAAGTTTACTCCACATTACACCTTGCCTTACGGATATTAAATCTTTTGGGTCCGAGTTTGTTTTTTTGGAACACAGGTTAGGGATTTGTAGGTCTATCCTTTTTCCCCAAAGGGCAGCGTATAGAAACTTCAGAGCAATTTACTGCTTTCTCTTTACTTGTCTGTCCTCTCTTCATCCCCTCTCTTTATGTGAGCAACATCCGAATTCTTTCTTCACAGCTCAGTAGGTCTGTACACAATAACAGCTGGATTCCGTCCACCCAAAGGCCAGCCAGCGTCAATAGCATACAACTGGTTATGATCAGCCTGAGCAGCTTGCAAGAAGCTGTTCAGTGTGCCAGACTTGTTTGTTTGGCATGACAAAATATGGAACTGCAAAAGTAGAAGATGGACCTTTTTGCAGGGGTACAGGATATAAAAAAACTGCAAGGGACTTCCTGGGTTATCAGAACGTATGCTGCTTTTATAGGTAAGCGCTTCAGTTTCTTCTGTTAGATGCGTTAAGCTCTACCTTCAAAAGCCAGAGAGAGTGAACTCCAGTTTTGGCCTCTCCCCTTCAGTTAGGATACTCACATTACAGCAGTTGAAGGCCAGCTGGAGGAAGTCAGGGGGACAGTCTCCCACCATGTGCTGGAAGGCATCATAATCTAATCCAAAATTCTGTACAAACAAAAACACAGTACAGAGAGCAGAGATATAAATGAGGTCTGCTATTTGGCCCAAAGCATCCTCTTTTCAGGCTCCCTACATGGAGTTATCAGGAATAACCATGAACATCATCTCTCTGAGCAGCCACATAAAGAGGATTTTGAGAAAACTTCTCGCAACACTGAACTGCAGCAGTCCCCACAGGGATTATTTGATATAAGATACCTGTAAGAGAATGAGTTGACTTCAAAGCCCATCATTCTTCCTGGAATTAACTGCAATTTACTGTACTTGAAACGTTGCCTGTGTGGTTCTGGAAGTGATTTTCTATATTATCATGTTTCACCATGGTTACTTCTAGTTTAAATCAAAAGCCTGCCAGAAGCTTGGGTATTATGAAAATTTAACAATGCAAATGGTTAACTTTTCAGTGGATGGTACTACTACGCTAGTGACACAAATTGTCCAGTTCCTTAAGCACATTTACAAGAGATCTGAAAGGCAGAGAAACAAAAGGATGTCTTATTCACTACGCTTCAAATCCTAAGCAATTTTGCATTTTCAGAACTGGAGAGGAATAGATAACCTGGAAGACCACAATATAAAGGGCCAAAAGCTACCTTGCAGAGGAGACTCCTCCCCCCACCCAAACCCAAAGCGAACTGAAGAAAAGAGAAGAGCCTCTTGATTTGTCAATTTTACATCAGATTCACAGTGCTTTGTACAGTCTGTGCTAAAACAAGCGTGAACCCAAACATAGTTCCTGCCCTTTTCACAAGGAGAAGCTGCTTAGAGGATGTGGTGGGCCAAAAGAGCTCCATTTTGGATTTGACAAGAAGCCTGTGTGAGCTATCACTCTACAAAAGGAAGGTCACTGCCATGCTCTCAGTGTTCTGCCAATTAGGGGCAGGTCTGGGGCTTCAGAAAGGATTTCCCATGAGGATTTTGGCTAGACAAAGGCTGAACCTGCGTCAAAATGTCTTCAATGGAGCTTCTTACAATAACAGCGCAGAAGAACAAAAGCTTTTTAGAGTCTCTTTTTAAAATAACACCTATTCGTCATTATCTTTGCCAGCTGTGCCAAAAGTGCTAAAGGCAAGCCCATTATCACAATATATTTACCACCTCCCACCAGTGTATAAATGTACCCACTTACTTCTGTACGAGGGAGATAGTCTGGATCCGCTTGTATTCTTGCTATAATCTCGCACAGAATTATACCATAAGAAAACACATCCGCCTGAGGGAGAAAAAATAAATAGCTGCATGGTTCGACTATGAATACTCAGCATTCTTATCTGCCATTGAGTTTCTCCTTATCCCAAGTGGTTGTTGTAAACAACTAAACCAACACCACAAGGCCTTCAACCACTAAACAACTGTACTATAACTTTTATTTTCCATATGAGGAAACACATAACAAAGTAAAAAGCTCCTGTTGCAAAGAGCAACGATAACACTAAAACTTGCACACACACACAAATATTCAAACCGCTGTGACTTCAGCAGTGTCCAAACAAACAAACAAAAAATATCCAGAATTCCTTCCCTACATAAGGAATGGTAAAGTTGCATTTGATGTCTTACAGATGGGAGTAATTAAAAACATAGCCAAAATATGACATGGCTATATAACACTGTGACTGGAGAGAGGGTTTAGAACGCACATGATCACAGCTTGTCCAGAATGTTAACGCTGGTTTTAAAAAGAATTACAATTTTCTCTTCTCACTAGTCAGTATCTCTGGAGAAAATGGTCTCTTCCTCAAAGCTTGAGATCTAGTTACACTGTATACCAGCATCAACTTCTGCGATCACTTATCCAAGTACCCCCGTGTTGCACAGTTCCAGTTCCTCAGACTCCCACCACCTGAATTTAGCAAGTAAAAAAATTTAGGGGAACAAGGAATACAGGAACATGGAATACAATATAGAGCAGAAGCCTGCCTCCCTCACCCCTTAGACATCAGGCAAGTTTATATGCCAGCTTTCATGTTGATAAGAGTTGTTTCCTCTTTACTCCTCCATGTCCTAGGGTGAGTAAAGAACACGGCACAATAGATTTGGGTACGTTATTATTATTAATTTGGGTCAGCTGGAACTCTTAAAGCTTTGAAATGGTAATTACTACATTCATTACTGAAGTAGCTACTGCTTTCCCTCAAGTACTACCAATTAAACAGATTATCCACTGCTGGCAAAGAAGGTGCAGGATGTGGGCTTTATCACAGAAAGTCACACTTGTAGGAATGAACTTGACTGTGTTTTAGAGAACGTCTTTGCACGCATGAGAGAAAAGCCTGTGTAAAGAAGTGCTTGACTGAAAATACTGTTTCTAAAATCTAGTGTGATCTGATCCTCCTCTGAAAGAAATTTTTCCCAATGCCACAAACAGGAAAACTTAGTTCCTTTGAAGAACATTTTTACTTAGGTATATTATCTTTGAGAACTGTCTATTTACTTTTTTTTTTTTTTTGTAATTAAAATAATTGTAGAAGTTTACGCAAAGACTTCTTGCTTCTACCCAGATTTCACTAACTTACAGGTCAGGGAAGTAAGTGCACTTCTATTTAAAAACAAAAAAAAATTAAGTGTCACCAGACATTTCTCATGAGACTTGATTATATCAAGTTGTATTAGGCAGAAATATGGTAAAGGGTGGTCTACATGTGGGATTTTTTAGAATGGGAGTATCTTAACAGTGATTTATGCTAAAGGTACTTTTATTTCTTCATAAGAGTCCACAACATCAACAAAAAATATTAGCTGTTCAAACCACCTTCTCCCTTAGTCTGAGTCACCTACTGAGTACAAGAACATAGCAAATGAAAGCGGTGACAATTTTTAAGTTACGACAATCCTGAATCTTGTATATGGGTACTAAAGAGAAACATCTGACAACTAAAGTCCACTTGCATGTATGTACCCACCTTTTCATTGTAAGGTTCATCTCTGAGAACTTCCGGTGCCATCCAGAAGGGTGAGCCCACCACTGGTAACTTCTCACTATACACACATATATATATATGTATATATATATATGTATATGCATATGTGTGGAGAGAGAGAGAAAAGAACCATTAGAGAAATGCTCCGATTCAGCTGGTGTCCACTTTCCATAACTCCCAAGAATCTGCAGAAGCTTTCAGCAGAGGAAAGTCTATACAAGTGGGTTCCACAACATACTGTACCTTACAATGGTTTCCAACTGGAGTCACTGGAACATTCTTTTATTTCTTCAAATAGATTATTGTATTTCCAGTTTCTAAGTCCCTAGGGTTTTTTTGTTTTGTTTTGTTTTTTTGCAAGGCCCCAGGCCTGGTTTCTGAACTTTTTGCAAAGTAGGCTCCTTCACGTGAAGATCAATTTCTGGGTAGATGTCAGATTCTTCATTAATGCAGCAGCACATGCAGGTATCCACACATGTATATCTATGAGCAGCTCTGAAAGTATTCAGTATAGCCTGCTCTTGGGAATAAGTCTCGATTTTCATGCCAAGATTTAAAAAAAATTCTGTTTATTACACAGAAAGAACCTAGTCTAGTCTGAAGCACATATGATAAAATCATAGCACTTTGAAAAGTTTACACAATTGTTTCTTTAAAAAAAAACTGATCAGATGAATCCTTTAATAGAGAAAAATGAAAAGTAATTAGAATGCAGCTGATTTGAAAAATCTACAATGTTCCCATATGGCTGAAAACGTCAGTCTTAAGAGAGGCATCAGGCTTGTCCCCCAGCTGACCTTGAAGGAATGAATACCTCTAAGACAAGACTGCTGAAGGCCTCAAATACAGTGGTTCACTAGCCAGCAAACCAGAAACAACATGACAGCATTTGAAAATGGAGGTGAGGCTATATCAAACCAAAATGGTGGCTTCTCTAACAATTGCATTATGTTATTTATTGTGGTATCAAGCTACCTTTACTTGAACTATTATTACATTCTCAGTTTTCAGGACATCTCAAAACCGGGTACTAAGAACACACTGCTGTCTTCCTGATTTTATGATGGCTTTGTATTAATATAGCTGAAGCTTTCATCACCTGAAAGGGCAAAGTTTTCACAGCGCTATCCAAGACAAACATTGGCAGTTCCTACTGAACTTATCAGTAACTTGGAAATTAAAATGTTTGCTTTCTTAAGCTTTTGGGTCAATTTTTCATTAGTATAAATGCAAGCTTTCACACCTCCCAAGCTACAGTTTTGGGAGACGTGCAATTTAAAAACAGATTTTACTGTTTTCTTTGCAGCCATAATAATTAGGAGGCTTTTATTTATTTTAAGTAGAAGCACACACTGAAGAAAATTTGACAGCACATTTCACAGCCAGAATATTCTGAAATACACAAGTCGGTGCACAGATGAGCCAACAATGAAATCCTTGTCTTTGATTTCCACAATGGAGGGAGGACAAAAGGGATCATTTCCAGTTGTAACAGTGGCTTGTGACAATCACCTGCGCATTCCTCAAATGAGCTAAGATCACAATTTCACCCCATGAAAAGCAAAATGGTGAGCTACTTTTAGACAGTATTTTTAATACCTCTTGGTTACAAACCTGGATCTTAACAACTAACCCAGAAGTTAAAGAGAAAAATACTGGAATGTCACTAAATATTGTTTATGAAAATAGGAAGGGGCTAGTTAAAAGCATTTTCAATCAAGGAAGAGGATATTTATTATAAAATCATCCTAATCCGGAACTGGACAGTTCTTCATACAAATCTCAAACACCATCTATTGAAAAGCTTGAGTGAATCCTCTAAGCACTGGAGCATTTTTAAAGAACAAATGTCACCACTAAATCTATTGAAATACACCATAATTAAAGCTGGAACACTTTGGTCATTCAGCCCACAGCTCTATAGACTGAAGACTGAGGATGCTTTTTGCAAATTGAGTATCAGAATGCAACAGTGGCCTGAGGGATTCAGCTAACTACAGCTTCTCATCTGCAATGGCAGTGCAACTCTCTCTGTATTTTGATTAGTCCGCATACCTGTGATCAGGAATTTTCTCTGCCAAACCAAAGTCTCCCACTATCGCCGAGTATCCGTTCTCATCATGTTTTATTAAGCAGTTCTGGAAAAGGGGAAAAAAAAAACAGAAACAAAAACAGAAGAACTATTGTCTGGGCATGAAACCCCTATACCGCTTGTTTTATTTATTTTAAATCTGGAACAAGATTACAATATATTGTTTGAAGACATCCATCTATGAGACGCTTTTAGTCGGAAAGCAACCACCCTTTCCCCCTGCCCCTGCACAATCACATGCCTGTCAAACTTACAGATGCTGCAAACAGCCTTACATTCGGTTAATAATCCACTTAAAAACTTGCTGAGACAGCAGGCAGCCACAGGCAGCTCGTATCCAGCTAGGTTCTAGCAAGAATTAACGATGATTTAACCGCCTTACTGTTAAAATATGCAATACATGCTGTTCACTATGACTCCTTGAAATTTCTCTTTATAGTTTGCCTGGACCTGAACAGAATACATGATCAGAGCAGACTCGAAATGCCTTTGTATGCTTTGCTAAATTAACTACTTAAAAATAAAAGAGACTCACCGCTCTGCAATAGATTACCATTAGAAAATACAAGATGTGGGAACTCTAAATGTATTTTTTAAGTCTCAAATCACATTCTTTACTCTACAGCACATCATAAAACATGATTTAAGCAAAACAGCTAACAGGAAAGATCTGTCCATCTTTTCCTTTTAAATGCCCTCCACCCCACCCCAGTGTCAGGAGGGAGGGCGATTTAAGGACACATTCAGATGATTTAGATCTGGCAGGGTCATATCACATGCAAGGTTTTATTAATTTAGTTTTGTTTATTTATTTTCATCCCTGAGAAACATGCTTTGACCATTCCAGTACTGCATGTTTTCGCTTCTCACCGAGTGAATTGGTGGCTGACTTCCCTAGGTTCTTCTGTCCTGCAATGGGTAGGGAAGAGAGAATTCATTCCTCTACCACATGCTTTGCTCTGTATCTTTCTGCAGCCAGTACAATAGTGGCAGGCAGCAAAACCACACCGACAACTACCAAGTGGTACCCTCCATCAATTAGCTAAACAGCCGGAAACACGCTTTCTAGCTGTATTGTGCTTGGACGTACCAAAGCCCCGCACTGACCCCAGAGTATTAGCTTGTTTGTCTAATGCAACTACTAAGAAAAGTCAGGTTCCTTGGCTAGAAGATCAAGTTCAAGTCATCACTGTTTTTACATATTCAAACATGCGTGGCCCAGGCCAAAAAGTAAATTTTCTTCCTGCCAATTAAAAGGTTACGTGAGCCGTTCTTGCGATCATGTAAAGAAAACGCATCCCCGGCTCCTGAGGTGCAAAGTTCTCTTTATTTAGCGTGACTCAAGTACAATAAGCACAGCTAGTTTGGGGATTCATAAACGCGTACAAAGTTAAATCGACCATGCTCGCCCAAAGAGCAGTAAGCTTCTCAGCTAGGGGCTTTTGTTATCTTTTATCAAAGAGCACATTCATTCAGCTCGCCTCTGTTTAAACATTTGCTCACTGTAAGATGGACTTATATCCAAGCAGGATAAACCACTGCTGAAAATCTTACTAAAATGATTCAGAGAGGTGGAATTTCATTGTGTTCCACACAGAAACAAATACATAAGGACATCAGAGATTTCACAGTGAATAAGAATGCCGACATACTAGTTTATGCAGCAAAATTTCAGATTATTTTCTACCATTGATTTTTCAGTAGTTAAAGTTATATGATTCATCGAACTATTTTTAGAACCTAGATTTCCTTCTTGCATTAACTTTGACTATTTACATTTTGTTCAGCTTGAGTAGCAAGACTGCAGTAGTTCATTTTATTTTACCTTCTGGCTTTTGTGCATTGGGGTTATTCTCTAACAACCCTTGTTTTGCAAATGTCACAGGGGAACATTTGCCTTCAGATCAAGAACTGTTTTCACTGAAACTAAAAGTCCACATAAACTTTTCTCCTGAGCCTAAGATAGGCAGTAACTTACAGGACTGCTTTAATACAGAAAGAAGGCTTAAGATAAACATGACAGCAAATTCTTCTTCACCTTCTTAACATTATACAATCACATCCCATTTGACAGAAACACATTACCGACTGAAGATGAACAACCTTCCCCCCTCCCAGCCCCAGGCAATCTCAGCTCTCAGGTGCAGCACGGAACTGTTATACGGGTAGATTATTCCTAGAAAATTCATAAATTAAACCAATGCAGCATCCAATCTAGTTGCGAGGCAGTGCTTCCTGACAGCCCCGAGCCCCTTCCCGCATGAGCGGGAGGAGCTGTGCCTGCACACACTGCTGGCAGTGAAGCTAGGCTCCCCTTTGGAGCAAGCCTGCTGGGAAACCAGACAGAAACGACACCCCCCGTGTCCGCCAGCTCCATCAGCTCCCCGGGACCTGGCGCACCATGGCAAGGCAATGGGAGAAGCTTAGGGCTACGTTTCTGCTATAGAGCATTGATCAACTGTTCTGCTGTGATGGGCTGCACAAAATTAAATGACATAAAGAAGAAAGCAAAACTATTCTCTTTTATTAGTGAAGTCTGACTTCTGTCTACATATGAAGGAGGTACTGAGCGTGAATTTAAATTCATGACAGTCTAAGTATTCCAGTACAAGGATGACTATCTTGTTTACACTTAAATCAGCTGTGAGCAGGTGACATGCACAAGTCTTAGCCAAAATGCCAGCGTCACTACAAATGCTCTCTGTAGTAAGACTAAACTGATTTAATTCGACTGGTGCAAACTTACATAGCTAAGTACCAATTTCCTGGAACACCAAAAAGCTGGAAGGCTAGTCTTACTGCAATCAGAAGTAAAGCCTTTCCACTGATACTAGCGTCATTAGATGTCACCTTTCAAGCCTATACTGTTCACTCAAGACAAAGTTTGGCAGACAGCGATGCTTCATTCTGTGCTGAGGGGGACTATACGAAGCACCACCACACTCCTCCTCCATCGGCTTCCCACCCCGGTAGAGCCTTTATGCAACAGTGCACCAAATACACAGCACACAGTTTAGTTACCAGATTTAAGATGCAAATCATGAAAAGGCTACTTACACAGCCCACAGTAAGAGGTAACTGCTAGTTCATGTGCACTCGATGAAAGACATTTCTATGCACTCACATTCTATTACCAATATAAATCAGGATCAAAAAGAGGCAAAGCTTCATTAGAGACTAAAAGGTTGAAAAGAGCTTTTAAACTTCAGCTAGAGATGGTATTTTAGTAAAAAAGAGTACAATAGACCGCACTGTGCTGTTACTACCGATAAAGCAATACTGCTCAGTTTCTAAAAAAAGAAATATGTGTATCATTTTGGTATGAAGAAGTTTCATTACTGGAATTTGGCACAGAAACTAAGAGTTCAAATCCCTCTCTAGTGCAAAGGAAAGCTTCAAGAATAGCCTGTGAGATGAAGTGCCGAGCAGCTTTACAACGTGGGCTTTAAGAACATTCGTCCAACTTACTATTGCACTGTTTGTATAGGCTGCAACGCAGCAAGACAAGAAGTTTCCAAGCTTTCTTGTTGGACCTCTACACAAGGAGACACGTTGTTTCCTTTAGAAGTCCATACCGTCAGAGAGAACCATATTTGACTACAGTTGGGTCCCTCAGGTTTTTTTCCTAAACGGGGACTCATCAGTCCTTCCTGAGACAGTCTCATGATAAAAAGCAAGGAGCTCTGTACATGAGCCCTAAAGAGTTAACATAGCTGTTTATACAGAGACAGATGTGAAAGAACATAAAGCCCCCTTTGTGTGTTACAGGAGCTTAACATCTGCTTTGCACAGCATAATCCCACTAAGACAAATGCAATATTCTACTCTCCCTTTTACATAAACAAAGACGAAAATAGACTCAAGAGTTTCAGAGTTGAAAATAAGTTGCTTAGATGAAGAAACCCCATCGTTTTATTTTTCAGTATGACCTAGAAACGAAACTCCTCAGAGATTTTATCACACACCAGAAAACACAAGAATGCTACTGCAGTCTCATTTGCAACTCTCTAATGACTGTTACTGAACTCAAATACTTAAAGACCAATTGGGATGTATCAGCTCTTTTTAAAGTGCTGTCCCCTCACAGAAATACCATTGACACTTGGTTGTACAACAGGAAGTTTGCAATACTAGATAGATTTTTTGAAAAACCAAAACCAGTATGTTTAAGGGACAAGCTCCATTTGGGTCGCAATTACCAGTAAGAGTTTACTAATGTGACTATCAATAGACTAATCATCTGCAATAGCTATTTTTTTCAGTGCAAGCTCTCCCCTGCAGCGCAAAATATCCAGGCGAGAGCTTACTCTAGCACAAAGGGACCTTACAACAGCAGCAGCAAGTACAAGACCCATCAGACAAAAGTTCTGTTCATTGCTTGGGTTTTATTTTGCTTTAAACAAGCAAACAGTACACAGGGTAAGAAGTAAGGGTATTTTACTTCAAGCCCAAAGGCAGTGAATTGATGTCACATCAGTCTACAGTAACTGCGTACATGGATGTCCGTCCCATGGTAACAGAGACAACGCATCCCTCAAAGACAGAGGCGTGAGCCATTACACATTTACTGTGAAGTGAAAGCACATGTTGACAGGAATATAAACACACACACAGGCCTCGAGATTACAATTTTTTCCACAGATTTTATCATCAGCGGAGCTTACAATGTTCCCTAAGATTGCTCGCCATCTACTATTGATTATAAAGCCTTATTTTCAACTGCATGTAATTCTGTCAAACAGAAAGGTATTTGTTTTGTTTTGTTTTTTAATACTGGGTTTTGTTTTGTTTTTGGTTTCAGCTAATACAATTCAGCTGCTCTGGAGAACAAACCTAGAAAAAGGATATTTGATCTGTGTTACATGCAAGTTTTGAAAAAATGAAAAGTAAAATCCTCAAAAAAAATTACCCTGTGGTTTTATACTCAGTTTTGACACGTTCTCAACTTGAAATATGACAAGGCCTTTGTGTAAGATGCACTTTTTAATAACCCTCCAAAAAGTAGACTGGGACAGGACATCTGTTGGGAGGAGAATTTGAAAGAGG